ATTTTAAAACATACAAAAATACCAATCGTAAATATGTTTTCGATATAAAAATACAAAAATACTTTTAATGATCCGCTGTGTAAAATTTGATTTTTAATACACCGGCAAATCTGAAAACACAATCATTGATAACACATATTTTTGATATTTCGAAGCAATTTTTCATTTCCAGCTGCAGTCTTTAAAAGACCTTTTTTATAACTCAAAGTTTTTGTTAGTCGAAGAAACTTTATTTTCGTAGACTTGGAGTAATCGAATAATGGATTTGAAAGATCCCTTTACTGATGTAATACTATATTCTGATGTTATACTATATTCTCCCATTATGCATCACCACCTATCTGAAGGTGGTTGTGCGCACTGGTTAAAAGCTTGTATTTACGTTGTGTAAAGAGTTAATCTTATGATACGAGTGTGGAAATGGTAAATCATCAAAATGTGTTATTTTAGATTATGTGACAGTAATGGACTAGTTGGCTGGGCTTAAGATGCTTGGCTTAAGGGAATCAACACTTCAAGTATAATGCACCAGTAATATCTCTCCGCAGTGGGGTAAGTCAGGGCCTCCTATTAAAAAATGACAATGTTATTAGCAAACTGATAGCTGGAAAACAAGTGAAGGGAACAATAATTCCAGCATCTGTTATGATAGTAGTGAGTGCAGTATTTATATTATTTTTTTGTTACATGCTGCTACCAACATAATTTTTGTTGCAAGCATCTAGTTCCCATTGTGAACAGATTTGGCTGGCATACTGTGCTATATAAAGGGAAAGAAGACGTAAGTAATACCAACTTATATGGAAGGGTTATTTAAAGCACGGAAGTCCACTATCCAAGCAGTACATTGCTTCTTAGGAGAAATGTATGAAGCTAACTAAAACCACAGACAAGGAAGCTGTCTGCAGTTTTCTGTCTTTACAAAGGATTTTGACTCTATTAACAGAGACGTGTTTCCAGATGAGCTGGAAGGTATTACTGAGAGCAATAATATCACACTTTTTTTTTTTATGAAACTATCTTCAAAATTAGATCTTTAAGTAATGTCATTTTCGTTAAGACTCTTGAATTTTTGAAAATTGCATATGTTCAACTTTCTTCTCAAACTGCCAGGAAGATTGTTATGCAATTAAGGTGCTTGCTGTTGTGGGGCACATTAAATGGTTGCTAAATTTTAATACCCGAATTTGAATTGCAGTGTGGGCAAACATTTTTGCAGATTCAAGTAGTATTTTAGCATTGTTACTTAACTGTGTCATATATCGCGAGAAAGTACATGCTGTTGTCGCTCCCTATGGTATAATTCTGTAGTAGAGTAAGAGTGCATATATAAATATTTGGGAGGTTGACTGTGTTTTTTGAGTTTAATTATACGAACAATTTTTTGATAATTTACCAAGTGTAAGAAGATTGCGTAAATTATATGGAATGAGTTGTTGAAGTATCTGGAGGTGATTTTTTCTTATTTTTCTTCAGCGTTTGAATTGTGTAATAATGTCTAAGATATTGTTTGTAATTTGTGAACACACAATTATCTATAAATTCTCGGCTGTCCGGGAGATGCCGTGTCGTTGGCTGAGAGGCTGACGATTCACCTGACATGTCGCAGGCTTCCTCAGGGCAGTGGCACTGTGGCGCTATATGCCGGGTGTGATATACTAAGTATTATTATATAATACTTAGTATATATGTTATCAGCCAATGACATGGCATATCCTGGATAGTCAAGAAATAATGGAATGGAGCTGCGGAAGCTTACGTGCACACAATTATGTCCATTGTTGTAGTAAGTATAAGAAGTGAAGAAATAATATTTATATGTACCTCCTTATCCATACCAATAGGTCTTCAATATTTTATCCCTCATACACATTCTAAAGGAGGAAATTTCAGAGACTTGTGTATCGATGTGATTCTGTTAGGCATGCATTTTCACAAGAGACACTATTGAATCTGTAATTTCGAGCAAGATGCATTTTTCTGTGTTTTGATAGTATTCTAATAGTGTGACCTAGTTGATTTCATTTTGTTTTTGCTTTTAGAACAGGTTTTTAATATTTTTTATAATATTGAGCATCATTTTCGATGGGTTGAATAATATTACTTATAAATACCAATATCGTGATCACTCCAGGAAGTAAAGATGCAAATCCAAGTCACTGCTATTTGGATTTTGTTTTTAAATATGAATGAAATCTTTCTCAAGCTTAGTTCAGAAGCTTCCAAGGTATATAGGCAATAATCTGGTGTTCTCCAGGATTGTTAAAGAGTGCTTATTCAGTATTTTGACTTTCACAAATTAAACTGCATTTCTTAATGTATTTTACAGTTCAGTTGCTGCAAAATCTAACAGAACTTTAAATTGTTTAAATATGTTTCTTATTAATTTTTAATAATGTCAAGTAGACACTTCCATGAGTGTTTACATCCTGTATCATTGTTCATTGTGTGTTGTAGTTGAACATGTGACTTGGCTTTGCCACGGGCATCCCCTGAGTCTGGCAAATTCCAATAGTTAAAAACATTTTTCAACATATTTTAAAGAGTGAGCATGATAGTGTGCATCACCTTTGCTACCCAGATGCTACATCAACTGAATTTATACCTTGAATTCATCATTTTCAGGAGTGGTGATGGAGTCTAGTCAGAGTAACAAGAGGCCCCATTCTGGGGATGGAAATGATGTTGGTGGCAAGAAAGGAAAGTTCTCTGGAAGGGGAAGAGGAGGTGGCGGCAGTTCCAGAGGAATTGCAGGGGGTGGGGGTGATGGACAGAGTGGGCAAGGGTTCAGGAGGGGTAGAGGATTTGGTGGGGATAGTGGTTTCAAGGGTGTGCGTGGTGGACTCAGAGGTGGAGAAGGTGGTAGGTTCAGAGGAGGCCGGGGCGGAAACAGTGACGGGTTCCGGGGAGGGCAGAGTGGATTCAGGGGCAGAGGAGGTGGTGGGTTCAGGGGAGGCCGAGGTGGAATCAATGGCGGATTCAGGGGAGGCAGGGATGGAGAAGGTGGTGGATTCAGAGGAGGGCGGGGCGGAGAAGGTGGAGGGTTCAGGAGAGGACAAGGTGGGTTTGAAGGCCGAGAAACAGGGTTCAGAGGAGGTAGTGGTGGACAGAAGAGAGAAGGGGGTAACAGTGCTGTAATGAACCAGGGAGGTCTTTTAAACTTTGGGCAGAAACGTAAGTAGCATACAAAGGCTCTTAAAGTGCCCTAGCATATGATAATTTTTGGTGTATTGATTCCAACTTGCCAGATTGTTATTGCCTCTAAAGTAATTTTAAGTGGAATAAATTTCTTGTGGCTGATTTTAAATTGTTTTCCACTCTCTCTGTTTGCCTTTAATTCTTCCAAAAATTGTATTGTTTTGTCTCTAAATTTATTTCAAAATAATTGATAAATTGTTACTTTTCAACCAATTAATTGTTTCATTGCAGTTTTATTTTCTTTCAATTTTAATTAATTAATTACAATTAATTGAGAGAGTTTTGCAATCACTGTGTGTGAACTTTACATCTCATACATGCGTTGTGTGGCGGAGCTTCTGCAGATAATCAGGAGACAAAATGTCTGTCAAACAGCTATCTCTCTCCTCCTCCCTCAAGGAAGATTCCCCCTCAAAGAGCTCTAGTACAGCTTCCTGGAGAGAGAAATCCCCTGCATGCCCATGTATTGGTCGGTGCCGGATCTCACCATCCAGCAAGGGAGGAACCGCCTCATGTTGGGATAATAACATACACTCCACTGACAGGACTAATGATGTATCTGAACATGAATCAAAAGTCATTTTGATGTAAAATATGGCATATGGATCTTTAAATCAATTGACTTGTACAATATCTTTGTCTACCTAACCATATCTGTAGACAGTATAGTATTTTCTTTGTAGAAAAATTTTAAATTTTACATTTACTTACAGTAAGTTCCACCATTCTTAATACCCCATTGTTTGCCTCATGAAAATGAGATTGTAATTTAAGAAAGTCATTTTCATTTGTAATAACTGAGTAAAATTTACAATGTCCTGCATATAACAAACAGTTGTTATTTAATATTGAAAGAAAAATGTAATTTATAAGTAGTAAAAATAGAGTGGACCCAATTAGAACCTTAGATGCACCAGACGTAACATAAATTTTGTGGGAAATACAATGTTTATATTGAATTTATTATTCCTTGCTTGTGAGTTGACTACACAAACATTCTGAAACTATATTTTTAAATCCTATGCTTTAAGTTTATCGATGAAAGGGTGCTGGTGAAAAACAAGATAAACCAGGTAGAAATGTTTGCGAGATACAAGAAAGGAAAAATTTTTGCCAAAAGATGTTTAAACGGGATACATGAAGATAACTGGCAGAGGAAAACTACATGCAATAATTTTACTATATGAGTATCACGGCAGATGGAAGTGTCCAATAATTTTAGTATCACAAAAACTTAAATTTTGAGAATTACATCCTTTTAGACTCGAGCCCTTCAGTTAACAAGGGAGTGAGTACGTTATCCAACGCTTTGGCAAAGTCAGTGAAAATATATAAAATTAGACCTTTCCAATGGTAATTAACATATTGCTAAAAGGAAGTAAATGCATAACTTGATTTATCATTCATAACTCCCAGCTATACTTCAATAATTAGAGATTGACGGTATTTTGTGTTTTTTTTTTAGTTATAATTTATTCGAATAATTTAAGTATCACAGTTAACAGTTGTTAAAATTGATGTTTTAAGAAATATAATGTCTTATCTTATTATTGTTTAAAAAATTCTGATTGTTTTTCCAACTTTAAAAAAAATTATGATTTTCAGAAACCATATGTGTGCTGCAGTGAATCTGAAATTGTGAATAAAATAAAAAATCCTTCTTCAATGAGAATTTTTGATTTATTTTTTTATTGGCTTAGTGTACAAGAAACACAAATCCATAGATATCATCAAATCGACCTATGCAATTGAAATTATTTGCTGTAATACACACCTGAAAGGACTAAATGATTTCAATAATATTTGACATTTACTTCATTTTGTTTATTTCACTAACACAAATTCTTGTTCATAGCCACACAATTTAAAAAAATATGTATATTTTTAATGCAATGTACCTCACATTTCAATGATCTATTATCATGGTCTCTGTCATGTTTTGAATACCAGCGGACGACATTGTGCTTGATGCCCAAATGCAGAATTCAATTACTACTACAACTGTAGTTAAAAATGTGTAATAAGGCTTATGTTGAGTGTCCAAACCCGAAGGCAAAAATTATACATTTTGTTTCTTTGTTCAAGTCCAAGTACCATGTTTAAATCACTACTTATTTGCCAATTATATGAATTGTACTGATTGTCATAAATGTGTACAAATTCTTTGTATCGTATCATGACAATAGTTATTGTGGCTTTCTTTTTTTAGTGTATGCTGAGTTTCCTGACTGGAACACAGATCTAATTCACAAGGTGTTGGCTGCTATTTACTTCGATGAGCAGCATAATACAAATTGGCATAAGGTTAATAAACTATTTTTTTAAATACTGATGTTATCTCTTGAAACCTAATTAACTTTTAGTATTAACTGTAGCAATTGATTATGTAATGGTTGAAATATGACAGTTTCATTAATTATAGTGTCTCATTGATGATTCTTGTGTATAACATGTAGATTGTGTCTAAAAGAGATATTTCTCTGTACTTGTTTGGATCTGCTCTATCTCCTTTTCTTTTATAATGAAATAACTTTTTCTTGGTGCCATTGTTTAGGGATCTCTGAATTTTTCGCACACATATTGAAGAAGTGTACAAATTGCTTAGTCATATTGTCTTGATAGTTTTGCAGCCACACACACTCGATTAATTTCTCCTACAAAACATAATCATCATCATCATGGGTTAAGCCTATTGACTTATTTAGTCTCCAAGAGTTGCCTTATTGGTCTGAACCAATGCCTCCTATTCGGGTTGTAGTTGTAGGGGAATTTTGGCATTCAATCTTCCAGCATTTTCATTAAATGATCATACCAATTCTTTCTTAGTACATTATTTTTTCAGTTAGGTTGAATATCTTCAATTCATCTCTGATGTCAGAGTTTCATTTATGTCCGACTGTTGAATAGCCCGCTAAATGATCTAGAAATCTCATTCCCATGGCTTCTATTTTTCTCTTATGTGCTCTGTTAAGGGCCCGATTTTCACATCCATAAGTTATCATTGGTACTGTGATTGTTTTATACAATCTTGGTTGAGTATCTGTAAGTGCTTTCTGTGTGAGAGCCTTTTATATAATTCCGCACATTTTCTGCATTTTTATATTCTGATCATTTTTTTGACAATGAAAAATTGCAACAGAGGTAGTTGAAGCTATTTACTTGATCAACACCGTTACCATTTATTACTATTCTACACCTTAAATTATTTTTATCCTGGAATGCCAAGGCTTTCATTTTCTTTGATTAAATTTGTAGGTTAGTTTTATAATAATTATTGTTATAATTTTTTTCTTGTTACAATCTGTAGTATTAAATAATAAAAAAATATACTCTTCCATCATTGAATGTTACACTTCTTCATAGAAAAATTCCCAGATCAGTAAAGAACGGCATCAAGCAAAAATTATTTTTATGCAAAAAAAAGGAGATAGATGCGATGCAAATAGCTGCAGAGGAATCTTTTAGATATAATATGAGAGGCTAAAATTAATAGCAGACCACTTAATTTCAGAGGTATGATTTCTTCTCGTTATTTTCCATATTAGCTACATGTGGAATTATTATATTACGTCTTCCATTAGTCAGACATAAACTATCTTATTCATGTTTAAATATGGATAATTTTCTCTGAAGGATTTCTCTTAAAAGAATTTCATTATTGACATGCTTCTTGTATCTGGAAAATGTAGTATAGAAGGGTATGCGAGTGATTTATTAAAAATTATTTGAGAATTTTCTTTTGTATGTCTTGATTTGGTATTGTATCTTTATTGTTATGTCGTATGTACCACCCATGTTATCACATAAATACACAGTGTGAGTGTGGGAATACAGTGTTCACATCAACTTGGTTCGCAGCCCTTTGTTACGGACATTCAACCAACGCAATCAAGGTTGGGATTCAGTCTTTTCAATTAGATCACGTATCCATTTTGATGGTATTAGCTGAACTCAGCAACGCAAGACTAGATGCTTGACTCACATTTGACTTTACAACATGGCACAAAGCATAGTGGCAAGCTGCACTGCGGGTCAAATTCATCGAAATTCTCAGAACGGATATTACCCTGCAAGGTACGAGGGAGAGAATGAATGCAGTTTTCGACTACATTTATACCATGGCGCATCAAGGCTCGTCTTCATTATAGAATTGTCACAGAATTGTTATAGCATTTTCTCGGTTGTGCTGCTAGGTGTTAGACGATGGAGACCATATCAAGCAGTACTTATATTAATTTTTTTTATGCTAATTTAATTTTCTGTGAATAATATTCCAAATATAAAATGGGATTTGTTTAAATAACAGTTTTAAAATTCCTTTTTTCCCTATGTGTTTTCCAAGTCCTTGAGCTTCTTTTGTAGCTTATTTCACTATTCGCTCACTAGGTTTGCAGATATGTATTAACTGTAATTTCATACAGCTTTCAGATAGTACTTTCATGTTCTAATAGATGAACTTTAAAGACTGCATATTCTCTTTTCAGATGGTGTTGTTTTTTCTTATTCTTGCTAGGTGCTTTATCTGGGACACTATTAAGAAATGAGCAGATCCTACGTCATTTTCTCTCTTCACCATAGGGTCTTCTATTTTCTTATAAATGTTTTTATTTCGTATCATAGTCTATTATAGACCTAAATCCTCTAAAACCACTCAAGTTTACTTATGAATTTCTTTTATTGGAAATACATTTAATTAGTTCAAGTAGTTTAATAATTCAATTATTGTTTCTCCATTCATATATATTAAATGTTTTCATCATGTTTTCCCATGTGATATACTGTAGTAATATCCCCAACTCTAGCATTAGAGTCGCAGAGTAGCAGGTTTTCATAATTTGTATTATACAAATCTATGTACTTTTGAAGAGAAAATATTTTGATCCTGTTAATTTCTTTTTGGTTTTTATTATTACAGCTACATTTATTTTAATATTTCCAAAATTTTAGCTAGTTCTAATTATTTATTAGTAATTGCTCTCACATTCCAAGTGGCAATTTTTAAATTGACGAAGATCCATTTGCATTTTCTAGGTCTTTGCATAGTTTTCATCAACATAGAGGTAATTCCAAAGGAATTTTGGGCACTACAAATAACTGTGACAAAAAACTATGTGGGTGGGTTATTCTAGCACTCTCCACACAACTTCCTTCCTGAGGAGGGGGATGTGATTTGGGACTTCCCTTGCCCTAGGAGGATTGTTTTCTCAGCGGGTTCAAGGCTCCTTCTCCCTGTTTCTCTTGTTAGGGGTTATTTAGGCCCTCAAGGCAAGAGATCCAACTTTCCACTACCCGCTCACTTGCTCTCGTAACAGGAGTCCATTGGCAGGCATATGGGGTACACTTATCCCGGCAATCAATTATTGACCAGAGCCATCCGGTGTCCATTCCCTATTGCTTGGAAGTGTGGTTGGAATTTTCCTTCCATTAAGAAAGAAATCTACAAGGCACTTCTCTTTCCTTTCAGGTCTTCTAGAGGACCCTCTGAAATTTAGAGATAGTAATAGTTCAATGTCTTTTTATTTCCATGGATCATGACTATTGTGTACTGAAGCATGGATAAGCGCTTTGATAGCAGAGTGGGAGTCTAGTAAAATATTTTTTGCAGTTGGAAACCCTTTTGCAGGTCCATCTAAATTATATTATTATAAAAGTTAATAATAATATCGGAAAGTATGTGCTCTGGTTCCTAATTCTTTATCTTGTTTATTATCTTACGAATGTACTCCCATGCAAACCTTTTTTCTTTGTTATTTTGTTTTGTGAAAGCAGTAGGACTTTAAATTTAGATTATCTCAACTATATTGGAATGTTTCCATTTAGTATAGAATGAACTTGTGTTGAAATATATATACTGAATCTAACTTTTGTTTACATGAATAGTTTATTCCTTGTAATATGGATTAGAAAAATTTAGCTATTGTGTGTGAACTTAATTAAATGAAATTACTTTCAGGTATCTGAGAACATAAGAAATTCGCTGGCGCCAGATGAAATTGAAAAATTATGGAATAATTTAATTGCAAAATTGGAGCCTCCAACATTTCAATGTGTGCTTGATTCCAGACATGAAGATGTTATTGAAGAGGACAGTTATACTAGAAAAACTTCCAGAGGTTTGTTGATCTTTTATATTTACAAGAATTTCAAATTTATGTAATAAAATTTTCTCACACATTGCTATATAATGTAAACGTCGGTGTAGGATCTACACCACAACGAAACAGACACGAGTGAGTATATACAAGTTTATTTTACACACTTACCATAGTTAGCCATTCCCTCACTCTAAGGCGGTTTGCCAGAGCTACACTGCAGCCTCTCTCCCTACGTGCGCCTTGCGGAACGTCCCTACGACCAGCCTTTTCGTTCAAAGGCCGGTCGCAGATAGGACCTGGTGTGCCCCGGCAGATGACATCTGCTCCGAATGTGTTTGGAAGAAACAATCACCCTGTCCGAACTCGTTCGAACACCCACGTGCCCTCGGGGGGGCACTCCGCACCAGCCTGGGCGGACAAAGCTTTTTGTGGTCTAGCACGAGGGAATACCAAAATCGGTTACCACCCGCGCCGTCTCGCACGCGTCTTTATAGGTCCAGGATAACCTGAACCTCCTTTAAACGTCACTACTCCCCACCCCCGCCGCGTGGAAAAAGCCTTCCCTGGCGCTGGCCTGGCCGCGGACCATTTCCTGGTCGGGAAAGTCCCCTCTTTGTTTGGGCGTCTATCTTTTAGATCCCCCAGCCCCTCTATACCTGCACTCGGCTTGCTGCCAAAGCCGATTGACGCTTTACAATAGTTGTCTTTGCAACACATGACTTCTATGTGGGAGTGGAGAGTGTTGGATACTCTTGAGGATGATTTTTTCAAATTAAAAATTAGTGGCTTACAATTATGTAAGTCGTCAAATATGTATCGCTAAATGATATTTGTTAAACGTGGAAAATATAATTTTCAGTTTTCACATTCCATATTTAGGAGAAACATGCGTTTTCTGTTGTTGTTTTAATTGGGGTGTCAATTATTGCAGCCTGAGCATTGTTGATATGCATGAGATTTGTGATGCTTGGTACATAATGTTCTCTTGAGTGTGTGTTCTTATTTATAGGAAGCCAGTGAAGGTGATTGCGAACTCACGTAGTGGAAAATTCTTGTTAGCCTTTATTTCATCTAGGTATTTTACCATTACCTTGTCTCTTTATATTATTGAATCCAGACAGGTGTTTTTTGGGGTCAAAAAATGAGCTTCCGTATGGGGCGGAAAGTACAAACAGCTCACTACTAAAAAATTCACATAGAAATACAACGTACATTTATTTACACCTTGCCAGATGACATTAAACAATTAACAGTGCATACAAAAGTTCAAGTCCCAAGTAAATCTTTTCTGCTGGACAACTGTTTCTATACATTAAGAGAGTATATTCAAGCATCCAAAAGGAACAGTAATATTAAAGTTTTAACTATGACATGTAATGTATTATTTATCATTTGGATTGTATGAATTTTAAAGAAAGAACCTGGTAAAAAGTAAGTAAACACCTGTAAGTTTGACTGCAGGCTTCTGGCGTCGATGAACCCCATCCCAATTAGGTTTTTTGCTCCAGTTTCCCTGATCCTCGAGCAAATGCTTGAGATGGCCCGCTTGTTTTGCTTCTGCGACATCATTGTTAACTTCAAATTAACTTCTTCCCATAGCACGACACCAGCAGTTTTTAACTGTTTTTGACAGAAAAAAATAAATACCATTCAAATTTCCAAAATTTGGGTTAGTTGCCTCAGACTTGTGAGATCAACCTTGTACTATATGCGCCATTATGGGAAAATGTGTAGGAAGTGCCAAACTGTACGCGCACTAACTTATTAGTTCACCTGTATTCAATTTAAAGAAACTTATAAAAATCCCTTGTTACTAAATGAGTTTCAATAAAATGTAATGTAAATGATATTTAATTAATGAGGGTGGTTGCCTGTAATTATATGTATATAAATAAAATAAAATTGTCCCAAATTTCGGGCAGTCAGGGACTAGGTCTGAACTCCAGGCGTTTGGAGCGGGTTATCCAAAGGGGGGCTGTGGTCATCCCCACTCCATGTCAAAAACCACTGGGCATCCGGTGCGGAGTCCCCTTTGCTAGACTATTGGTGGGTGGAGACGCAACTGGAGATGAATTTGTACTCCATCATATGGATTACCAGACAATCCCTCCTGCCCTCTTCCGTAAGGAAGAGGTGCATTTGTGGAATGACTATTGATTTAGCACCACTACAAGCTTCCCAGGCAGGTGAGAACGAAAGAAAAGCCTCTAAAATAATAGTTCCCAATACATGACTCTGTCTATGAATTTAAATGGGTTTCGCGTACTTCCAGAACAATTGAGATAGATAATTCCGCGTCGCTAGACTTATCATATATTCTGCATTCAGAAAACTTCCTTCTTCCCCATTCCTCCCCTCTCGTGCTTTGTGGGTTTTTAGCACCTGTTGGCTTCGATCAAGATTGACAGACTGTGGTGCTCAGTGTGGGTTGGCGTGTTCTTATCTGGGACTCCCTGTTCTCTGAGGAATGAAATGTTCAAACGACTTTTAAACTTGTATGTGTTCGGATATGCGATCCTTTCTGCAAACGATCTGCAATATATACAATACATTCCTTGTGGCCAGTCATTTCACAAGAACAACTTGATGTAGTTTTTCTCAGTTGGCCGATACCCTTTTCTATTGTGGAGACTACATGCCCACATCCGCCTTTGGTTGCACAAGGTACGTGCAACAAGAAGTGTAATATACATGAAATATTATTGGCCATCCAACATTAATAATGAATACCTGACAAAAGCAGCATTTGTGCCGTGTTCTTCAAACACTTCTCCTCCATAGATCGTGACTCCCTGCAGTCTCTCTCTCCCCACCATCTTTGCTGGACTGTCCTTGCGCGACCTGCATGGCAGTGACCACTCCCCATTTGGTTAATGTTGATATTTTCCAACCTAAACATTGGCCCATTCTTCTCGCTGGCTAATCCACTGAGCTGAGTGAGGAACTTAGAAAAATAAATACAGGAATATCAGAAAACTGCCCAAAACGATATCCGATTGCTATGGTTGCCCATTGTTACTGATGGCCCTCTTCATGCAACCTTCATTACTATCTTCAAAGTCATAGGGGTTAGCCCAGGAATCCTCTCATTGCGATGGTGGAATGCCATTCTGTGCCATCCGCGAGTGCTTTTGATCAGAAGCGAGCACAGAACAAAGCTTAGTATGGTTCCCAACCATGGATAATCAGATAAATTATAAAAGAGCCTGAGCGAGAGCTAAATCGATCATATGGGAATATGAGGCTGCGTCCTAGAGAGCTATATTTTATCAATCAGTTGCCGCACACTCCCTAAAGAAATGTGAAAGATTTGATTGATCAGAGAAAACTTCCTTCACCATTGGTCTTAAGGCTTCTGCTAAATGGAAATCTTCTCACCTAGAAGATACAATTAAAGAATTGATCTATCACTACGAACATATCTCTAGCTCCATACACTACCCTCCTGCTTTTCTGAACATCAAAAGAACTGCAGATTAAATTTCTCCAGACATGAGCACAAAGATTACAATGCTCCTTTCTCCAATATATAAATTTTCCTGTGCCCTCGCTTGCGTGAAAGATTCTGCTCCAGGTCCAGACCAGATACATTATTTATTATAATAATAATAATTATTATTATTATTATTATTATTATTATTATTATTATTATTATTATTATTATTATTATACGGACAAGTAAGTTCATTATTTACAAAAAGGAATACAATAAAAAAATTTCATGTAGGAACATAATTATAAAAATAGAAACATTTATAAAGAATAACATTCCATAATAACATAAAAAATATGTGTGGTATAATAGTAGCTCTACTACCCCTACTCATTCAAATTTCAAGATTTTGTTGTTCGCTAGTGATATAAAAGCACATTTATCTGTTTTACATATATAAATATTCAAACTCTTCACTGATTTGCAACATCTTATAACATTATTTGCTGTGTAAAATTGACAGTAAATTCTAAAATCAAAAATCTTTGGTTCTAGAATTAAAGTTAAGTGTTTTGTACTCTATCTGATTTTGCAATCAACCTCGCCCAATATCAGTTTTCTCAAAAACAAGTTGTTCAAGTCTCTCTGAGAACTCAGTGATGGAATGTGCAATATCAATGCCAAGTCAATATATTCATGTTTGAGAGGACCTTAGTGTGACCCCTGACGGACACCTCAAGATGCCTCTGTAGGATCGGAAACAATACTCTTATATGAAACTAACTGAACTCGAGCCAGGTAACTGTGAAACCGTTCTAGTAACGGTCCACTGACCCTCAACCGCTCCAGTTTAACTAGCGAAATCTCATGGTTTACCGAACCATACTAAAATCTATACGTCTACAATCAACTTGAAGTTTATGTTCCATAGCTTCAAGAATATAACAACAGTAATAGGACAAATAAGCTGCTGTATTTCTCCTGACATAAAACCAAATTGTCTATCCGTAAGATGTGGATAAACAACAACACCAATTTTATCCAAAATCAAGGATTCAAAAAGTTTTGGGATAACACTGAATGAAAGGCGGTCTGTAATTCTATATGTCATTTCTGTAAGAATTATTCTTGTAGAAATGTGAAAAAAATCTAGCAAACCCATCCACGATAGATTTGGTAGTAAAAGTTAATGAGTCACAGTGCATAGTATTTGGAAGGCTCCTACTCTCCTTTTTTAAATTAACATTTTTTAAAACTTTTTTTGGTCAGTTGTTATATATCTCATCTGATTCTCATAATCATTCGCAAAATCTCTCCTCGCTAAGCTTTTACGAATTAATCTGAGTTTACAAATTCTCCTGTACAGAATAGGAGAGTTAAATCGTTTATAACTAACAAGAGATGATTATATTGCCAATTATTGTGTTCTTCAGGTCACTACTATACCACACAGAAAATTAATAGTTTACAATTATTTTCTTGGGTACATAAAGATCTATACAATTATACAAATAGTAATAAAATAAAGTAAATAAAGTGTTAACATCACCATCGAAGGATTGAAGACTAGAATATAGATTAAAT